AACCCGAGTTGCCTGTTAGCTTTCGCAACGATGCCCGAGTAATGAAGCTTGAATGTTAAGGCACAGTCCAGGGTGATTCCTAGGTCACGAACATTGTCCACACGTTGCAGAAGTTGTTGATTTATCGTATAGTTGAATGCCACTGGTTTCAGCTTGCGATGAAATGAGATAATATTACATTTTTGTACATTCAACGTGAGATAGTTTCTTGAGCACCACTCTTCGAAAGTATCGATTAGGTGCTGAAACCGCAAGCAATCGGCGAAGCTACGAACAATCAAATAGATCTTCACATCATCCGCGTAGAACGATCGACAACCAGTTGGGAGGATCAGTCCGGTCATTCACAAAAATCGAGAACAGCAATGGTCCCAAGTTGCTACCTTGAGGAACACCGGAGCTGTTTGTAAAATAGTCCGATTGCTTTGATCCGATTCTAACAAAAAGTTCCCGATTGGTCAGATAGGACTTGAACCAACGAGTTAAACCCGAGGATACACCGAGTTTTTGAAATTTAGCTAGCAGTATGGAGTGGTCAACCCGGTCGAATGCAGCCTTAAGATCTGTATATACAACGTCCACCTGCGCTCCAGCTTCCATACTCCGAAGACATAAAGAAATGAACGGAGCTAGATTTGTTGAAACTGATCTCTTGAGATAAAAACCGTGTTGGTCCGGAGAAATGTAATTTCTGCAGCTAGAGAATAATGCGTCGTTGATGATGATTTCGAAAACTTTAGAGCAGGCACTGAGTGATGTGATTCCCGGTGATCCCTCGGTAATTTTAGACGTTTCTCTTGTCTCCTTTCTTGTAGATCGGGAACATGAATGCCGATTTCCAACGCGTAGGGAACTCCCCCTGCTGTAATGAAATATTGAACAGCTTCGAAAGCGGTGTTGTAAGCTCTGTACAGCATCGCTTCAGGATGTTTGAGGGGATCCCGTCAGGGCCAGCAGCTTTAGAAAATTTCAGCTTCTTGATGGTGGATTCGACGAGGTCTACTGTAACCGAGTTAATCGAAAAATTAAGAGCATCACTGGGAGTGTCCCTCACCGCTTTGGCAACTTGGGACAACGAAGCCGTAGTGTCATTGAAAATGCTTTTGAAATGTTCTGCCAGAAGATTACATTTCTCTAGGGAATTGGTGGCGATTCTCACCCAGGTGAATTTCGACTGTAAGCCCATCCTCGTTTCGTTTGGTATTCACGAATGACCAGAACTGCTTTGGATTAAGCCGTAAATTAGCCTGCACACGCCTTGTGTAGCTCTTGTAAAGAATGCGGTTATATGTGCGATATTCGTTGCTCGCTGTTGAAAATAATCTTTTGGTGAATGGGTTACGAGTACGACAGTATTTACGGAGGGCCTTCAATCTCAGACGCTTCAAATTCCGTAGTCGAGCATTGGACCATACGGGTTTGGGAGAGGGTCTCCTCAATGGGACAGAATCAGTTATTGCCTGGCCGACGACCTCAGCGAAGTAGTTGACGGCTTCATCAATAGATGAACACGTGTCAAGGAACTGCCAATCTGCCTGGGCAAGCGAGTGACTCAGCGCGACGAAATCTGCTCTACGAAAGTCGAGCTCATGTACATCAACAGGGAGGTTATCGTAGCGAACAGGAACAGATAGGTTGATGGAACCGTTTTGTTCTAGTCGAGAGAACACGGTACCAATCGAACTGATGTGGTTTTCAATGCTGTTCGAATCAGATCTCTTATTCTTCTTCTTCTTCTTATTTCCTTTATTTAACGTCGGTCTCTGTTCCGCAATCTAGTGCCAATCAAGGTGGCTACATATAGGTGTTCTAATGTGTCAAATTCGTGATTCAGCCATGTTGGATTTTTGTATGGGACAGCGACCGAGTTTGTTTACAATTTGCTCTAAAACCGCATTCCCCCCCCCCCCCCCGCGACCTCCTCGCCTATATAGTAACAAAGCTGTATCACCATTTATATACCCACCATGGTGCCAATCACCGACGGACATCGATTGCCATCCATTGACGGCAACCGAATGTGCAGGAAGGCAGCTTCCACACCTGCGTAGGATATCGCACCCATTCACAACACACATGGGCCGAATCAGATTTTCGGTCTGGAGGTAGATACATAGCGCCAATACTTACACTGAAAATAAAATTTAGTTTATATAACGAAAGCGTTTGTTTGTTTCACGAATTATTTCGTTGTTTTCTGCAACGAAAAGTTTTCGTACATGCTAAGAAACTTGTTTCGTTAAAATTTCCAAAATCATTCACTTCCTAACATTCGTGTATTTAACGAAGCGTTGCCATACTCGGTACGAATATTTTTTAAACTAAGGACGGATATATTCGTGTGAATAATTAGAAGGAACGAAAATATTACGAATCATCCGTATACTCACAAAAATATGATAAAATTTTACGAAAAGCAATACAAAGAGTCACGAACATTTCTCTGGAAAAGAAAACTGTCATTTTTGGAAGTCATAATAAAAACTTTATTGAATTGAATATTGAATATTTAAAATAAATTCATCACATGGTGGCTCCTTCACTCTGCACCAATAGCTTCTAAAAACCGGAGCATGCACCAAAGACCATATCCTAAGGCACCGCAGCGCAGCATGTCTCCGATGAACAGACTAACGCCTTCCCGACCAGTCAGTGAAACGGTCTCGTTAAAGTATCCAGCCTGCAACGATATCTATGCGATGACCTTGGGGATTTGTTGAGTAGGCTGTGTCCAAGATCTCTATGCGGTCTATGTCCACCAAAAAAAATCACGGGCAACGATTGACAGGCTGTGGATATAGAAGAAAATTAGGATTAGTTCCACTACAAATTGCAAAACGATGGTAAATTACTCACCTCATCAGGGACCGTGAACTTCTCGATAGTCCTCGATGAAAACGCAGTTGGTTGCATCTGTTGATCGTCAGTGCCAATATGGCCATATCTTAAGACGGGACTCCCAGCTTGAGCCATTTTTGCTCCTCCGTGGTACGTATTCCGTTGGATGATGGATTTAGTTTGCTGCAGCTGCAAAGCGGCATCAACGCCGGTGATCGGGCAAAACAAAACAACACAACACTTCCACAGTCCATGATGATGTTGAACGAATCGAAAAACTTCCACTCACGAATATGTTCTTCTAGCTGTCACACACTCTGTACCACACACGAATTGGTTCGTAATAATAATGAGCGTCCAATGCAAGAATGCACGAATGATTTTCGTAGGTGAAGGAATAGTTTTGTAGTTTCACGAATCAACGAATGATTTTCGTATGCAGTGTTTACGTCCGTACGAAATTCAGTTCTTGTATTTCACGAACTAAGCGTAATGTTAGCATCATGCCTGATAATATGCAATACAAATGTTTCGCACAATATACGAAAAATATGTGATATCTACGAAACCCATTGATACGAAATGAGCGTGAGCGAATTAACGAAAAAATATTTTCAGTGTATTGATCTACGAGGCGTCGTTATTTTGACCCATAGCTGCTCTAGAGAAGTGCAAACTGGAGCAGGATCGATGCATAATTGTTTATTAGGGCGTGACCAACCAAATTGGATACCGGTTTAAATTCCGAAATGTTGTTAGGTAGGGTTCTGATCTAATTTTCAGCCTACTAAGCACAACCCGCACTTTACCTCTCTATTTCGAACGGATTTTGACGCAAAATGGAAAACAAGTGAGTTCTAAATTTATTTACCATTCCATAGTTACCCTTAGATTTCATAAAGAGTCATTACTAATATTTTGTTGAAAATACAACACAGCTTCTTGATCCCAGATTCCTTAGTCTTTCAGCTACAATCTGATTAGATTATTACGACTGAGCAAACGCATTTTAGTAGGTTTTTCTTGAAGTGAAGCATACTGCTGCTGATTTCGAGTGACCGATAATGAAACAGCACAGCGGCACCGGTGGTGTAGTGGTAAGCAGGCCTGGGTTCAATCTGGAATGTTCTGATAATTAAATTCCCTCTAGAGTTTACAGCTGCTTCACAGCGATATAAATGTGGAAAAGCTCAGGCGTCCACCTCTTAGTTCGCCTTTTTGTCCACCTACAATATTCATAAGTATGGAGATCTTTCCATTTTATCTATTTATATTTTATTTTTTGTCACTGATTTATCAAATGCTCTATATTGACGAATAGAGTTGCCAAATCATTCACCCTCCCACTAACACAACTCTTTCCTTCCTGTGACACCTATGAAGGTAGTATGGGTTCCCTGCACCTTCTTAACTAGATGTTGGATTAACTTTCCCTCCCTTCCCCTGCGATTGTAAGGATGTGGCCAGGTGTATAATGCGATGCTTGTATTGTAGATTTTATTTTCGTGTGGGGAAAATCACTAATCCCAAGTGATATTTTCTGCGTCAACACTCGATATTTTCTGCAAAACGTATTAGTTGACCATTATATAGCCACCCACGATTTGTACAATCGCATATGCTATGCTATGCTATGCTATGCTATTCTTACTCTTCCTTGGAGACGACTTGAGTTTAGCTTCCGCTTTCATCCGTGCCCTGAACTCCCTGCTCCTGCCAATTATTTTTTCTTCGGCAGCGCCAGCCGCTTGGCCTTCTCTTCGTCCTTTATCCGCTCCTTCTCGATATAGTCCACTATTCCGAATTTGTGGTAGTAATACGCATCGTTTTTCCACCGACATCTCCACTAGTTGTTTGCTTCCAAAGACGTAAGAGGAAAAGTGGACGAACTTCGAACAATGAGCAAGCACCGCAACAAATCGTGATTTAGACTTGCAGAATGCCATCAAACCTCTATAAAGCTTCCAATGTAACTTGGGCAGGGCCCAGGTAAAGAAAAAGCGAACAGCCATCCAGTAAGGAAGTATTTCACGTTGGCCCTTTACACCACTGAAGGTGAGCAGGATACATGAGTGAGTGAAGTGTTTTTAACGTCCTATGGGAAATTATCGACCAAATGCATGACTTTCTTTTCTTTCTGATTGCCAAAATTCTTAAAGTCATGCGACTAGATAATGCTTATATTGATATCACTTTCATGTATCTTACGAACAATATTTTATAGTACGAATGCATTTACTTAGTAAGGTTTACAATACTTAAACTATTGCAGAGTAGGAAATAAATTCACGCTACGAGCTCAACACGGCTAAAAGATTTTGTTTTAAAATTAGAAATTAAAATTCAGCTAATCTATGTATTTGTTGTTTTTCAATGCACAATTCTGACGGCGAGTAACCTGTTCCAGCAAAATTTATTCCGTTGCATGGTGATACTTGACGAAGGCAATCGCTGCCAGTTCCTTGCAGAACTCTTCCAGCACAACGATCGACTCGAACAGCGGATCGTTGATCTCCTCTTCCTCTTCCTGTGCAGGGGAAGGTTCATGCTCGCAATCCTTATGATACAAAGGAGGATTCGAAAGCAGACGCTTCCCGGTGTCGTTGATCCTGTCCTGGAAATTTTCCACCCTTGGGATTTCGGTTAGCAGCTGTCGAGCAAGGAATTGCATCACAGACCATAGCGTAGTGGCTCCCGGTGCCACGGGTATCTCCGGGCTCAGGAGAATTTCGTGTAGGTACGGATGAGGGAAGAGGGCCAGCTTGGACAGGATCGCTATGACGGCCAGGTTCAGCTCGTACGGTTGGGTGTTCATTTGTTTGACATGGGAAAAGAGAAGTTTGAGCAGCGGACCCTCGTAGAAGCTCTCCTCGGATATTCCACTGTCGCCACATTGAACTTCGTTCAAGTCGGACTTGGTTTTGAATTTGGGCTTGGTTGGGAGGGTTCCCAGTGTGGGTACCTCGCTGGTCGGTGAACTGGAGGGGCTTTCGGGCCAAACAGCCTCCACTGGCCAGTGGAAACCGTAGGTTTTGTTGATCCAGGTTTGATAGTGTCGACTGGCATCCTGCATGTACTCTTCGTAGCAGATTCCGGCCGCGTCGTTCATGATGTGTCGCGGCAGGAGGAGCAGGAAGCTGGAAAGATGAGTCGTTATGATTTTTTTTTAAGTTTTCAAAGAGTAAAAGCTCATACTTGTTAATCACTTTGAGAATGTTGTTAGGAGCGAGGGTTCGAGACTTGATGGGGCCTTCGGCGCTTCCTCTTCGTCGCTCACGGTTGTCTTCTTCGTCGGACCAGGATTCGATGGTTTGTGTGTTGCTGTCATAATACCCTCGGTTGTTGATGTAGAAGAAGAGCATCCCATGAAGGATTTTCTCGTGTGGGTTGTCCAGCAGGGACTAAAAATAAGGATCATGTCATTTGATGTTCAAGGAAAAAGTTTTTCAATCAGAGTTGGATTACTTCTACGAATTGCAGCGTTTGCAGTAGAATGTCCGAGTTCTCGTGAGCATTCTCGATTAGTATGGTTAGAAGACAGTCAGTTCCGTTAATATCCGTGATCTCTCCTTCACCGATAAGCCAATTAGCAATTTCTGAAAGTAGTTATTATTAGTAAATAATACAAGCCCTGGATTTGCAATCTTACCGTCCAACAGTGCTCGGGACTGCGTCTTTTTGATAATCTTTGCTGTTAGCACTAGCATGAACGGAGCATAGTTTCCCAGCAAACCGGGTTCGATATAACTGATCAACAGTTGACTTCTAATCAACTCCCCCAATTCGGGGGCCATCACTGGGCTCTCCTTCAGCAGACAGTCACAGTAATCCAACCAACAGAGAAAGGAAGTCAACTGATACCTACCAATGAAGTGCGGTTGTTCGCTATCTCTCGGAATCAAGCCCCACGATACGATAGCATCTTCAATATCTCCGGTATCCATATCCTCCGGAATCTGTTGACAGTGGGCAGCCAACCGGTCGGCGATCATTGTGCTAAACCGACTTAGGCTATTCCGAATTGCGCTACAAGATTTGTTCAGCGTCGGAAGAGACGCCAGTATTAGGATCCCTTCGCATGCTCGAACTATTATTGTACTGTCCTGTAAATGTTTCACCAAGTTAGCGAAACCACTAAAAGCTACGCTCAATCAACCTTCTCTACTTACTGCACTATCCAAGTAGCTTACAATGGCATCAAACAGAACGAAATGTTCCTCATCATCACAGTCACATTTGGCTTCGGCCACTCTCTCCTCACCTAAGTTGGGAATAACTATTGCCGCTGAAGTCCCTTCCTCACCGCCACCTTCCTCACTTGCCTGCTCCTCCCTTACCAGAGAAATCCGCCTGGAATCGTATTCGATTTTTGTGCTTTGAAACAATGGATTGTTGACCGGAGTCTTCGTGATGGAAAGTCCCTTCCAGCTGGCCAGCATTTGTGCGGAATGGTGATGAGATTTCAGGAATAGATTCGCCAAGATCGGCTCCTTCCGAACTAAACCCGCTACGGTTTCGAGGAACAGAATTTCCTCCCGCTCGTACGGCGATGCAATGGTCCCATTGCACAGCTCCACCAATTTCTGTACCGGTTGAAATAGGCTTGCATGTCCCAGGGGAGGATCCTTCATGCAGGACAGAAGCCGTCTAATCCAGTTCAGTATAACCAAACGAGCCCCCGGAGGAGTATCGTTGGCTGCCAGTTCGACCAGAACATCCAGAGGCCGGTTGTTCAGCACGAACTCCATGCATTCTGCGTCGGGAATCGTATCGGTTTGGCTGTCGTTGGATGATTCTCCGGTTTCTGCTTGCGTTGCCTCCATGAATTCACTTTTGCGCAGTGCGGCTTTGACTTCTTGCTCTTCGCGAATCAGGATCTGGAGCATTTGCTCCAGATGCAGCGGAATGTTTGTGTCATTGATGTGAATTTTTGGCAATGTCTTTTCGGCAACGTAGAAGTTCTTTACCAACTTGTAGTGGTAGTTGAAGTCCTGGAGTGCGGTTGGTGGTGGTGCGAGCTGTTGACGAAGATGAAAGATATTATTAGTAGATAGTCGTAAGGAAGAGTGGCAAGAGCCGTTGTTAAACGAGAGATAGAGTTTAGCGAGATAAACTATTTTGTAGGAGTTATATGTCGAGACGCTGATGCTAACTCCATTTGGTGACGCATACCGAGCTGCGATAGTGGAAATCAGAGGCCCAACGACACTGCAGTCTTTACAATGCTAAATCTTCCGGTTTTAAACATGGCTTGGATACTGTTGTGAGACTAGACTGCGTGCAGATATCATCGAATGAAATCCACTACATGTTGAACATGTCGATCCAATCCAGCCCGTTGAGTTCCGGTGATGACGACACAAACTAGATAATAACTTCACATTGGAATTCACCAGACGCAAAGGAAGCCGTGATTTATGATGAAATCAGCTTCGGTCATCCCAGTTAGTGACAAAAAACCCTGGAGAATACCATGATAACCATTGAGAAATATCGTTGAAGAGAAGCGGTGGCACTGTTGATGATGCAGTAAGTCGCGTACTTTCGCTTCCTGGTGTTGATTCCAAAGCAACACACATGCTATTTAACAGATTTTATAACCATTTTCTGACTGGTTTTGATTATATAGCAGTTTACTCAACATAATTCTATGCATTTGTGTTACTTGGGTGTCAATGTGGTTCATCACGAAATCTCCTTTCGCGAGATTTATAGTACCAGGATTATTTTTTTTTATCTGTTTGTCCTATTGCGATTGAGTGGAAAAGTTACTTTAAGTCCAAAGGCCCTTGTTCAGCATTCCTCAGTAGCTGATAGTTTGCATTTTCCGGCTATTTTTTTTTCCACTAGGGAATCCTGCTCTATCAGTTTTTCGAGAATACCAGGGATCCGAGAAAAACTTTGATCCAGTGAAAACAGTATGTGCATTTTTGAACTTCTGTTGAGCGGTCCATGGCAATTTCATCCGACTTCTGGTGGCTTCTCCAGGAATTGTCTTTCAACTTCCCCGGAAGTGTTTCCGGCCTTTCTCGGAAGTTTCACCTGTCTTCCCGGATACTTCATCAGACTTCTCCCAGAAGTTTCTCGTGTTTTTTTAAATTTATTTCATCCTCTAACGGAAGTTATTTTCGATTTCACTCGGAAGATTCTGCAGGAAATCATTATGGATTCATCAGAAAGTTCTGACTTCCTCCAGAAGTTTCTTCTGATCTTACCTGGAGGAATCTTCCGTTATCTCCTGCAAGACTCTTCCAATTATTCCTGGAAGATATTTCCGATTTTCCCAGAAGTTTCATCCAACATCTCCCAGAAATCTTTTTGGCTTCTCCCGAAAGTATCTCCCAACTTTCTTTTGACTTCCTTCCTGAAGATTCTTCCAACCTTCTCCAGATTTTTTTTGAACACCCCGGCAAGTTTCTTTGAGTTTCTCTAGGAAGCTTTTCCCAGTTTTTTTTCCAGAAAGCTTCTATCAGCTTTTCCAGGAAGTTTTTTTTTTATACTTCCATCCATTTTTTAAATTCTGTTCGAACTTTCTCCTGATTTTCCATTTGTTTTCGAATTTTTCTGGAAGCTTCGTCTAAGACCCTTCAGATTTGTCCTAGAAATAGCTTCCGATTTTATAGGAAGTATTTTCGATCTCTTCGGAAGCGTCTTCTACCTTATCTCGAAAGATTATTCCAACTTACTCTAGAATTTGTTTCCAAATTCTCCCTGAAATCTCCTAAAGGCTTCTTCTGGAAGTGGCTCTTGACTTTTCCCAGAAGTTTTTACTGACTTCCATGGAAATTATTTGTCGATAAACCTCGGAAATTTCTTCGAATCGCTTCTCAAGAGCTTCTGGATTCCTCTGGATGTGTCTTCGTAGGATATCACGTAGTTATGTTTTTTTTTGTTTTTCTAGGAACTTTCCGGAAGTTTTTTCAATTTGCTCCAGCATTTTTTTCCTCATTCTCCCAGAAGATTCACCCAGTTGTGGCTTATTGTTTAGCCTAAATGCTTATCTGACATACATTTAGTAAACAATAGCTCTTTCCCGGGAAACCTGACCAGATTCCTGGGTATCAGGAAACGTAATTTTTGGCTCGATTTTTGGTTATTGTCCCACGAACACTAGCTGGTCAGGGGGTAAGTCAGACATCAAAAACAATGTTCGACACACTCAAACACCCTTCAACCAACCGGTGGAAACTAACGATTGTAAATTGACTCACTACTTGACAAGCCTATTGGTCCCAAGTACATCTATAAGCTTACCCCATTGTAGTCGAAAATCTAGTACTACACTATGTTTGTTTTGATTCGCTATGAAAGTTTGACAGACAAAATGAGGGGTTCGTGGATTTTCCTATGTTTCGAGGGGTGCATCGATTAGCTTGGGACCGAGGATAGAACCAGAGCTGAGCCAAAAAGTTGAGCACGTTTCTTCGGGCCCAAGTAACAATTCAGTAACCATTTGGCATCCACTCTGATTTATGATGGTTTTATGACGGCAATGAACAAACCATTTAGTTTAAATACAGCATTTCAAAGTGTAAAACATTCCTGCTTAGTAATTCAGCTTTTTGTTTTAAAAACCTTTTATAGTCTGGCAAGAAAGTCAAAAACTGTCTTGTTTTAAAAATAAATTTAAAACAGTTCTCAATCCCTCCTTAAAACTGCTCTGTAATTCAAGCACATCCGTCATTAGCAATTGTTTATTAATGTCTTGATAAAATACTTTATAAACGTGTTCTATCATTATTAAAGCATCCATAAAACCATTAGATTTTGCATTAGAGCAAAAAGCATTTATTGTTGCTTTTTAGGCTTTTTAAAGTGCATCATATTTAAACTCCCCAATTACTCGGTTTACAAATTGAGCTTAAAAGGTGGTTCCTCATAGTTAATAGAAGCCATTACAAGGAAATCTCGAAGGATAGACGTAGTAGGATGAAAAATTCAAGTCGATTTCAACAAAATTTACTTCTTTAGGAGAACCAGCACATCATCAACGACTGACCATATGGCGGAGAAGAGTAAAGTGAGCGGGCCCTCGAATTCATAAAACATTGTCGAAAGTTGAAAAACATACCAGCCTTCTTCAAATTTTGCGAATAGATGACAATCGAAATAACAACCGACAGCAAACCACTGAAACTGTTAGTTAGCGGAGATTAGCTGGTTTCCAATCCATAGCAGTGATTATTTTCGGCGAAAGAATCAACACTTCGAAAATTTCATTCAAGCGTACATCCCTGCATCGTTGGATGGGGCACTTCTGTAACCATTCAGAAGAAGGGGATCTTTTTCGGTTCGAAATGCGAAATGTTGCAAAACAGTATCGCAAACTATCTGAGTAACTGCTCCCAATCCATCGGAGAAAACTGCCGGGAAGAACCCTGGATCGCACAGTGCAACTAAATATCGAAAGATAAACAAACTTTGACGTTTAACTTTTTGCAGGCAACTTTGCCTCCATAAATGCTGCCATAAATCTGAACGGGTTAGGATCAAGCAAAATGGCTTTAGATAAATACAATTCAGGCTGTAAGTTTTCTTCATAAAAGCCATTTTAAAACCTTATGAATTTGTTAAGGATTTCTTGAAAGCAAAACAACTTTTTCACAAATGACCCACGCAAATCAACTTTTATGCCACCGCCATGATACAATTAGTTTGCTTGTTTTTTACAATCTTCGATTTTCAATCTTTAGTTCCTTGGATATAACTATATTTTTGGTAAATTTATTGGCGATATCTGCTTTATGGCAACACTGCACGAGAGAGAAAACATAAGTTGTTGACCGGTGCCGTTAAACGGCGAAGAAGTTACGCCGTTTCCACGGTGACGCGAGTCTCGAAGTTTCCTCCGATCGTTTGTCCGCTTCGACGGAATTGTCCTCTGTGTAGCCTGGTGACGAATTCTTCAACAGGTTATGGGCCCAGAGAATTGGAAGAAGAGCTGTGCGAAAAACGAAAATCAGAAGCGAACGAGTAATTTCCGGGTTCCGCCATTTGGATGGTGACCGACGGCCAGCGTTGCCAGGTCATTTTCAGCAAAATCTGGACCAGCTAAAATATAAAATCTGGAAAAATCTGGAATGTTCCAAAATATCCTGTTTTAACATAATGCTATTGTAATCAAAGTGATGTGCCAATCTTCCGTAAAAATTGGTCAGTATAATCATCTGGAATTTATTTGAAGTACTAGAATCGTTATGAATTACTAGTTTAAATAAATTATATAAAGCAAATAACTTGTTAGCATTGCTAAATCATCCAAAACTTGGAAATTATTGACGATTGTGGCCAAAAAGTTTAAATATCAACTACGCAGCAGTTCAAAAATTGAATTAAATGTGGGTAAAATACTGCGGAAAATATTTTTAGAATTGTTTTTTAAAATATAACTTTTTTAAAAAAAATGAGAAGCAAAGAATTACGCAAATTTGATGGGATGGTTTTTTTTTAAAGTCGATGTAGTCCTTACGATTTGATGCAGTACCAGAATATAAAGATTTTATTAGTTCTAAATAATTCTAATATTATCCTGAGGTTGATCAGATTTACAATTTAATTCAATACAACACACAACACCCAATAGGCAATTTTATTTTGAAGCAAAATTCACCTGGCTGAAATGGGAATCAAAGCCCAACATCGTGGTACTCACACAAATTTTACCTAAACTACAGGTAACTGTACTATTCGCGCCTAACCATTACGAATAATGTTATGCCAAAGAATAATTTTATTATATTACTAAAATGAAAGTCTGATAGCGTCATTTTTGAAGTCTCAGGATCTTCAAATGATTATAAATTCCGGAATTTCTATTTTTCCTGGGTCCCAGATCATGAAGTTTTTTGTTAGTCTGACTTTACTTGGAACTCTTCACAGGATATCTTCGCCCTTTTTTTTAGTTCCATTTGAATGATTCTAAAATTTTTGTTAGTCTGAATTTATTTGGAACTCTTCACAGGATATCTTTGCCCTTTTGTTTGAATTCCATTTGAATGATCCTAAAATTTCATCATAC